ATCTATAACCCACTATGATAACATGAACGTAGATAAGTATGTTTATGGAGCAACTTGCAATGTGAACAGACTGACTGATGTTGTAGTGGCCAGGCTTAGGCTTGGTTACAAGTACTTCTGGCAGTTTGGGAGACACACAGATGATGATCAAACTAAATGTAAATTATGTGATCAGGCATATGGTCACTCTCTTGAACACTATGTGCTTAATTGTCCACTTATTGAGGAATACAGAGACAGACAGTATAATAACCTATGTGACATGTCAAGATATCTTATTAATGAAAATAAGATACCAGATATACTAAGCAAATTTCCTAAATTTGCTTGTAACAGATAAGTGAACTATAGATATGTAGATATAAATCCATATGTATTCCTGTTAACCCTTTGGGGCCTAGTTCCTAGGCCTTTTGTGTATCCATATGCTCTCGCGCTACCGTCCACAGGATGGATATGGAGTGCACAATAAACTAGCCACTTCGGTGGCAAAATCTAAAAATCTAAAAACTCTCAACGTCCACCTCAGAACTTTCTTTCTTCGTTTACTGAAACATTTTTATGGCCGAGAGTGTGATGAACTGTACAGTATATTACAGTATTCTTTTTTTTAAATGATAATTAGAAAATTATATACATATATTTTTTATTTATTATTCATTGAAATATCAGTTATTCACGTCTAGTATCAGAATTAACTATCATCAAACATTGTACAAAATCATAGAAGATCAGTTATAAAGAATCTGATCTTAACAAATGCTAAAGATTATATTATAAATTCTAGCCCTTGTGGCTTAGCGCTTCTTTTTGATTATAATAATAATATATTATAAGTTTTAAGGAAAGATAAAAAAAAGTATAAACTACCAAAAAAGTAAGAAAATACTTTGTTTCTACTTTTCTATATTTTTCTTGATTTTTCAGAGTGAAAGAAAGCAGGACTCGCCTGTCTGTATTTCACAGGTCTCCTGCGTTCCAATATTCTACCTGGAAACGTCAAAAATGACGTCAGGTCTTCCCTGTGTAAAGAAAGTCACTGTCTTGACGAAGACTTTTCCATTCCTCTATGTCTTGTTTTGAGAACTAATTGTGTAATTTTTAGGGCAGGGATTATTCGCTTTTTTCCCTGCATATATTAGGGAAAAACAATGTTTTTTTTGGAGTCCTGGGTTTTTTATAATGTTTTTTGTTGCTCGGTACAAACCTTTCTTGATTTTTTCAGATGCCACTTTTCTGACCTTTTGGGTTTTATACTGGAAACTTCTTGATCTAAACACTTAGGCCAGCAAATCCTAAAACATAGGAGTGACTAGACACTTTTTTTCTTAACTTTTTTAGAGTGTTTGCTGAATAATTGTCACAAAGTGTGTGCTTAGGCTCTCAAAAAACAGTGAGTTTTTTCTTATTTTTTGCTAGAGCTCTGTCTATCCGACTGATATCATCCCTTTTTCTAAAGAATTTTTTGGCTTTGCGTTTTGCTTGTTCTTTCTGTGTTACCAAATTTCCGGGATTTTTTTCTTCCAAACTTTTCCTGTTTTATCAAATTCAAAAATAGGGGCAAAGTGATTTTTTGTTGTCTGTAATTTTCAGGTTTAAAGCACAACTTTGTAAGCAAGACCAGCGGGTCTGACATAATTCGTTTTAAGTTTTTGTTTTCGCGTTCATTTTATTTTTTGAAATTTAACTTAAACAATATTAAAATTTGGGAAAAAAGAAAACATTAATCAAACATAATTTTTTTTTTTTTATTAAAATCTGAAAAGGCAGGGGGGGAAAAAAAAAATTTTTCATATTTTTTTATACAAAAAACCCCCTTTAAACCCTTCCCAAAACCAAACCCCCCCCCGGGGTGGCCCCCCGGAAAAAAAACTTTTTCACACTCCAACTGTCTTTCAAAAACCCTTGCTTCATTCGCCCCTTTAAACACTCCCACTGGGGGTAAGCCCTTTAAAAACCCACCCCCCCTTCAACCCTTCCTCTGACTCCTACCCCCCCTTTCCCCTCCACTACAGATTTTTACATTTTCACCCCTTTTACCACACACCTCTCTAAAGTTTCCCCTTTGCAAGGTCCCCTCCCAAAATTTCCCCCCTGGTAAAAAAATTTTCTCCCACTCGTTAACATTTCCAAAACTTCTTCACATCCTCTCTTTGGTATCACATTTAAAATTAGCCCCTTTCGCCCCGCCTTTTTTAATCCACAATCCTAATTTTCAAATCCTTTTCTCCTTTCCAAAACAGGTGTTGCATTATTATAATATTGTCCAAAATTTCCCCCAAAAAACTTGAATTAGATAATTCATTTTAAATTTATTTGAAATTAAAAATTAAAGGGGGTTCACAAATTCACCAAACTTTTACGGGAATTCCAAAGGGGTAGGGAAAATTAACCAAGACGGTCAGCCAGGAGAGTTCAGCAGGGCTGTCAGCCAGGAGACGTGTCACCCAGGAACTGTCCCCGGAAATGGTCCCCGAGACTGTCAGCCGGGAGAGTGCGGCCAGGAGAGTTCAGCCGGGAGACGTCAGCCAGGAGACGGTCACCGGGAATTGTGGGCCGGAGACGTTCAGCCGGGAGTGTGTCGGCCAGGAGACGTGTCACCCCCGGAGAAAAGTACCCAGGAGACTTGTCAGCCGGGGAAGTGTCACCAAGACGTGTCCCGGGGGGCCCGAAGACGGTCGCCAGGGTGTGTCGGCCAGGAGACGTGTCAGTCAGAGACGTTAAGAACGCAAACAGACAAAACTAGCGCAGGCCGGGCCCCCACCTCACTCCGGGGTGAGGGGGATTCCACCCTGATACGTGACTCTCCCCTGGGCTGCGCGCCCAGCAACACAGAAGCCGGCAGCGAAAAAAGCAAGTCAAAAAATTCAGTGTTAGACAATGCGTAGCTATTTTAAACCGAACTATGGCACTGAATATATAAAAGTTACTCTTTCCTAATAATATAACTAAATCAAAAATAAAGAAAGCAATATAGTTGCAAATTTTGCTAATATCGCAAATAAGCAATATAAAATTTTATGATAGGAACATACATTGTGACCATTTAGGGGGCCAATACGAGGCATATCACTGGGGAGGCCCCCTATCCTGGCGAGGACTCATCCCCGGCGAGGCAATACCTGGCGAGGCCCCCATCCTGGCGAGGCACCATTCCTGGGAAATCATGGAGGGACCCCAGGGAAATTTTATCCCTTGAACCTTCATTTTTTGAAACCCTCTTTTGCAATCCACTGACAAAAAATTTCCCCCAGATCCTCTTTTCAGCATATTTTCTTCCAAAATTTTTGCAGGAATTTTCGAAAGGTTAAATTCACGTGTTTTCCTTTAATCCTTCTTCATCTAGGAATTTATCCTTGGGAAAAAAACCCAATTACCCATTTTACAAATGGTAAAAACCCAAAAAATCATCAAAACAATTTCTTCCCCATTTTGAGGATAGGAGGGTAATGGCCTTTTTCCTTATTCTTCATTTGCTCCCCCGGTTTGGCTAACCAAAATTTCGATATTTTTTACATAAAATAAATATCATGTTTCATTTGAAATATAAAATTTTTCCATTTTAAGTCCCTGGGAAAAAACCCTTGCGTAATTTCGTTCAGCTAAAGGTTCCCATTAAAATTAAGGGAGAACTTGTTGAAAACACAGTTTTTAAAATATTAAGACGTTGTTACCCCTCAAGAATCAAGGTGGTACAAAAGACATACAAGTTGGGGTAGGGGGGACCACCCGCACCCCCAAGTTACTTAAGAAAGCCCCTTCTTACACAACTGAAACTGCATGCCCCGTGAGTAGCCTTCTGGGACACAAGTTTGGGCTTCAAGGTTAATGCGGTTTCAATGGAACTTACTCCCCGACCTACTCCAGCCCCGCATGACTTAAACGCCCCTTTAAATTCCCCCGAAGGAATAATAGAGAATTTTTACACAACTATGCTGAAGAAACTGATTCGACAGAACCTCAGCGAGACCGTGGTCTCCTCATCACTTTCTGATTGCGTCTCGGCCACACAACTGTGATCTCTTAGCTACCACCTGGCAACCTTTTCCAAAACGCCCCGGGGGCCTCCAACTCAAACCCAACCTGCGGCTTCACCTCACGTTGGCGGCCCAACTCGGCCCCAAGCGTGACAGCCTCAAATCGCCCAAGTGTGGCACCCCCAACCAGCCTCCGCTCAGCCTCAACCCAGCGGCTTCCCCCTCATGATTGGTGGACCCATCTAGCCTCAAGCCGGCGGCTCCCCCTCATGATTGGGGCCTTAACCGCCCCAAAATGGGGGGGCCTCCCAAATCAGCCTCCAGCTCAGCCTCAAGCCCAGCGGCTTCCACCTCATGTTGGTGGACTCCCTTTGCCTCACGCCTTTAGGCCCCCCAGGTCAGCCCCATGCCTGGGACCTCCAGGGCAGCCTCATCCTGGGGGCCTCCAGGTCAGCCCCCCTGGCGGCTCCAAAGCCGCACGTCTGGCGGGCCTCCCTCGGGCCCCCCCATGCGGCCGCTAGATCAGCCTCACCCTGGGGGGCCCCAACCCCGGGTTCCCCCCGGCGGCCTCTAGATAACCTCACGCCTGGCGGGCCTCCAGCCGGCCTCACACCTGCACCCAGCTCGGCCTCACGCCTGGGAGTCCCCCACTCGGCCCCACCCTGGCGGCCTCAAGCTCGGCCTCACCCCGGCATCCTCCAGGGGCCCGGCCCACCCTGGCAGTCTCCAGCTTGGCTTCCCCCGCCTGGCGGCCTCCAGCTCGGCCTTACTTGGGGGGCCTCAGCTCGGCCTTACCCTGGGGCCCCAGCTCGGGGCCCACGCCTGGCAGTCTCCAACCACTTCACCCCTGGGGGCCTCCAGCTCGGCCTCACCCACATCTCTAACTTTGGGTTTTATGCCTGGGAGTCTCAACTCGGGTTCACGCCTGGCGGCCTCCAGCTCGGCCTTACGCCTGGCGGCCTCCAGCTCTGTCTTACGCCTTGCGGCCTCCACTCGGCCTTACGCTTGCGGCCTCCACTCGCCTTACGCCTGGCGGCTTCCACTCTGTCTTACGCTTGGCGCCTCCAACTCGGCTTCACGCCTTGCAGTCTCCAACTCAGCTTCACGCCTGGCGGCCTCCAGCTCGGCCTTACGCCTGGCGGCCTCCAGCTCGGCCTTACGCCTGGCGGCCTCCAGCTCGGCCTCACGCCTGGCAGTCTCCAACTCAGCTTCACGCCTGGCGGCCTCCCAGCTCGGCCTCACGCCTAGCAGTCTCTAACTTGGCTTCATGCCTGGCAGTCTCTAACTCGGCTTCACGCCTGGCGGCCTCCAGCTCGGCCTTACGCCTGGCGGCCTCCAGCTCTGTCTTACGCCTTGCGGCCTCCAGCTCGGCCTTACGCTTGGCGGCCTCCAGCTCGGCCTACCCTGCGGCTTCCAGCTCTGTCTTACGCCTGGCGGCCTCCAGCTCGGCCTCACGCTTGGCAGTCTCCAACTCAGCTTCACGCCTGGCGGCCTCCAGCTCGGCCTTACGCCTTGCGGCCTCCAGCTCGGCCTTACGCCTGGCGGCTTTCAGCTCAGAATTGCGCCTGGAGGTCTCCAGCTGAGCTTTAACCACTCTTGAAGGCTTCTTCTTTGTCTTTATTTCCTGAAGGATTCTTGTATAGTGTCACTCCATTATGTGGCCACGTTCTTGGCCACATTCTGGGTGCAATTAGGTCTATTGGCCACTTCTAGGCCTTAAGAGATATTTTACGACTTCTGGAGTTAATTCATATTTACGGATAACTTCATTTTAGTAATTAATATTAAATGTTGCGGTACGAGATAAATGCTGTATCATAGTTAAATAATAGCAGTTTGCTTGGAGTACTCATAATATAAATATATTTTTATAATATAATATATATATTATAATAATATTATATATATAATATATATATGTATATATAATATATATATATTATATATATATATATATATATATAATATATGTATATATATATAATATATATATATAATATATATATATAAAAAATATATATATATATAATATATATAAAATATATATAATGTATATATTATAATACACACATACGGAGTGAAGTGCACGTGCAGGTATTATAATAATGTGTGAATTATAGTGTGGGTGAGTGTATTATAGTGAAGATGAGTGCATTATAGTGAAGATGAGTGTATTATAGTGAAGATGAGTGCATTATAGTGAAGATGAGTGTATTATAGTAAAGATGAGTGTATTATAGTGATGATTTGCATATTATAATGAAGGTGAATGGAATGTATTATAGAGAAGATGAATGTATTATAATGATGAGTGTATTATAGTGAAAATGAGTGTATTATAGTGAAGTTGAGTGTATTATTGTGAAGATGAGTGTATTATAATGAAGATGAGTGTATTATAGTGAAGGTGTGTGAATTATAGTGAAGGTAAGTTGATTATAGTGAAGGTGTGTGTATTATAGTGAAGATGGGTGCATTAGAGTGCAGGAGAGTGTACTAAAATGATGGTGAGTGTTTTATAGTGTAGGTGAGTGTTTTATAGTGTAGGTGAGTGTTTTATAGTGTAGGTGAGTGTATTAGAGTGAAGGAGAGTGTACTAAAATGAAGGTGAGTGTATTATAGTGAAGGTGAGTGTATTATAGTAAAAGTGAGTGTATTATAGTGAAGTTGAGTGTATTATAGTGAAGGTGAGTGTATTATAGTGAAGGTGTGTGTATTATAGTTAAGGTGAGTGTGTTATAGTGAAGGTGTGTGTATTATAGTGAAGGTGTGTGTATTATAGTTAAGGTGAGTGTGTTATAGTGAAGGTGAGTGTATTATAGTGAAGGTGTGTGTATTATAGTTAAGGTGAGTGTGTTATAGTGAAGGTGTGTGTATTATAGTGAAGGTGTGTGTATTATAGTGAAGGTGTGTGTATTATAGTTAAGGTGAGTGTGTTATAGTGAAGGTGTGTGTATTATAGTGAAGGTGTGTGTATTATAGTTAAGGTGAGTGTGTTATATGAAGGTGTGTGTATTATAGTGAAGGTGTGTGATTATAGTTAAGGTGACTGTGTTATAGTGAAGGTGTGTGTATTATAGTGAAGGTGAGTTGAATATAGTGAAGGTGTGTGTATTATAGTGAAGATGAGTGTATTATAGTGAAGATGAATGTATTATAGTGAAGATGAATGTATTATAGTGAAGATGAGTGTATTATAATGATGAGTGTATTATAATGAAGATGTGTGTATTGTAGTGAAGATGAATGTATTATAGTGAAGATGAGTGTATTATAATGATGAGTGTATTATAATGAAGATGTGTGTATTGTAGTGAAGATGAATGTATTATAGTGAAGATAAGTGTATTACAGTGAAGGTGAGTTGATTATAGTGAAGGTGTGTGTATTATAGTGAAGATGGGTTGTTATGCAGGGTTCTGCATGACATCGTAATGTACACATAGTGGAGAAGTGTTTACCTGGAGATTTACCTGGAGAGAGTTCCGGGGGTCAACGCCCCCGCGGCCCGGTCTGTGACCGGACCGGAATGTTATAATTGTAAAGAATAATTTTATAATTCATAATGTGCATTTGGGGGCACTGTAAAGTACTCTAACTGTAATTATAAAGAAATCCTGCTAGGGACTTATTTTCCAAGGGTGTTTGGGTAAAAAAACCATACCACGGGCGGGATTTGAACCCGCGGTCAGAGAGTCTCAAAACTCCAGACCGTCGCGTTAGCCACTGGACCAGCTAGCCACAATAAGATTCGTCCAACTAGGTATATTTCTACACCATAGGAAGGTTAGCATAGGCACCATTGTGACCACAAATGCAAGTTTTATAGACGAATCTCCCTCAAAGCCGTTAACATGACTCACGAAATCGTAATGACACGATTGCAAACAAACCAATCCCGCCCGTGGCATGGTTTGTTTGCAATCGTGTCATTACGATTTCGTGAGTCGTGTTTGGGTACGCGGAGTAAGCGTGGCTGGGGTAGTCACGTGGAGTCAGCATGGTGTGGAGGCTGGCGTCGGAGATGCTGGGTATTTAAACTAAGTTTGTAGTTGTGTACTCCTTTTGTTTAGCTAACCCAAGCTATAGGCTCTTCTATGGCTTACCTGTATGCCCACCCAGGCTCTGACATGGTCAGGGTGCTGTGGGAGGAGTGAGGAAATAAGAAATGGGGTTTGTAGTGGAGTAGTGACGGCCTGGCGCTGACTAGGCCTAGTGGTTACGGTGGCTGGACCTCCAGCCAGCTGTTTCTTGTGTTCCATCATTAGGGCGTTTAGGATTAAGGTGTTTCTAGAGTGTGTATATAGTGTTATGTTGAATAAATAGATATATTTTCCTAACTGGGATTTTTGCCTAACCCTCTGTTAACCAACCCATTGAAGTAACACATGCTGGTTTAGCGCTTTCTGTTTTGACTGGGATAGCCTTGGGTGGCCTGTTTATGCTTGAGATGTGTGTGTAACTTTTACCTTTGCCCTAAGACAAGGCTCAGTCCCCCAGCTGTCCCACATTTCTGCGTATCATGGGTGTATTAGAGTGAAAGAGAGTGTACCAAAATGATGGTGAGTGTTTTATAGTGTAGGTGATTATATTAGAGTGAATGAGAGAGTACTAAAATGAAGGTGAGTGTAATATAGTGAAGCTGAGTGTATTATAGTGAAGGTGAGATGATTATAGTGAGGGTGTGTGTATTCTAGTGAAGATGGGTGTATTAGAGTGAAGGAGAGTGTACGAAAATGATGGTGAGGGTTTTATAGTGTAGGTGAGTGTATTAGAGAGAAGGAGAGTGAACTAAAATGAAGGTGAGTGTAATATAGTGAAGCTGAGTGTATTCTAGTGAAGGTGAGTGTATTATAGAGAAGGTGAGTGTACTAAAATGAAGGTGAGTGTAATATAGTGAAGCTGAGTGTATTCTAGTGAAGGTGAGTGTATTATAGAGAAGGTGAGTGTACTAAAATGAAGGTTTACCTGGAGATTACCTAGAGTTTACCTGGAGAGGGTTTTGAGGGTCAACGCCCCCGCGGCCCTGTCTGAGACCAGACCTCATGGTGGATCAGGGTCTGATCAGCCAGACTGTTACTGCTGGCAGCACGTAAGCTTACGAACTACAACCTGGTAGGTCAGGTACTGACTTTAGGTGCATTTCCAGTGCCTTCTTGAAGACAGCCAGGGGTCTATTGGTAATCCCCCTTATGTATGTTTGGGACACTTATTATGTTGTCTCTCAGTGTACTCGTGGCGCCCCTGCTTTTCAAAGGGGGAATGTTGCATCTCGTGCCGAGTCTTTTGCTTTCATATGGAGTGATTTTCTTGTGCAGGATTGGTACCAATCCCTCCAGCACCTTCCAAGTGTATATTATCACGAATCTCTCTCTCCCCTTGCATTCCAGGGAATACAGATCAAGGGCCTTCAACCGTTCCCAGTAGTTTGGTGCCTTATCGTACTTTTTTGTGCCGTGAAATTTCTTTGTACACTCTCAGGTCTGCAATTTCGCCAGCCTTAAAGGGGGGCCGTGAGTGTATAGCATATTTTAGAGAAGAGAGCAAAAGCGATTTGAAGAGAATCATCATGGTTTGGCGTCCCTAGTTTTGAAGGTTTTCCTTATCCATCCTATCACTTTCCTAGCAGAGGAGATAGATACATTGTTTCTGGTCTTGAAGGCGAGATTCTCTGACATTATCACTCCCAGGCCCCTTCACATTACTTTTCCAGCTCTATTGTATGGTTAGAATTTGTCGTATACCCTGACACATTTTTAATTTCTTCAAGTTTTTCCCATATCTAAGTAGTTGAAATTTCTCCTCGTTGAACTTCATTTTGTTTGAGTGCCCCATTCGAAGGTTTGGTTGATGTCCGCTTGAAGTCTCTCGGTGTCTTCAGTGGAGGTCACTGCCATGGTGATCCAGGTGTCATCCGCAAAGGAAGACTCGGAGCAATGGCTTACATCTCTGTCAGAAATGAGGATGAGGAATGAAATGGAAGCGAGTACTGTGCCTTGTGGAACAGAGATTTTTACTATGGCTGTCTGGGACTTTACTCTGTTTACTATTACTCTTTGTGTTCTATTTGTCAGGAAGTTTGTAGATGAATGGTTCAGAGAACCGACATGTTGATAAATTTGTCAGGAAGTTGTAGATCCATCTACCAACTTTTCCCGTTATTTCTTTATCACGCATTTTGTGTGCTATTACACCATGGTCACACTTGTCGAAAGCTTTAGCAAAGTTTGTGTATACATCTGTACTTTGTTTATCCTCAACAAAATCCAGGACCTTGTCATAGTGGTCCCGTAGCTTGGACAGGCAGGAGCGACCTGCTCTAAACCCATGTTGCCCTGGGTTTGTTAATTGATGGGTACTTAGGGGGGGGCTATTTTGCTTCTTAGAACTCTCTCAAAGACTTTCATGATATGGAATGTTAGTGCAATTGCTTTAACTGCCATCTTTGGGAGGGGGGCTATGTCTGTTGTTTTTAGTGTGTGTGGGTTGATCCCTGTGTCCATGCTCCCTCTCCATAAAATGCTGAAGGCACGCAAAATGGGCCGGAACAAAGCGCATTGGCATGTCATCAATTGCCTCTTCAAAGTCCTTGGGAGCTAGAATAATATTTCCCAAAATTTTTGG